GGGAAAGAGCGAATTACCAACCATCCAACACCATTTTGCCATTTTTCTAAGAATAAGAAGTTAAGCCACCCTTTAGACTCATTTTTTCTCTGTAAATAAAACTGAAATTGTTTAGCACTCTTAGCAGGCTGTACTCTAAACGTTTGATCTTTTTATTTTTTAAATCTAAAGTTTCTACATTTCTATGAACTTGTAGAGCACCAGAATAGACACAGCATTTAAATATGTCCCTTAAATTTAGAGTAAATGTGAAAAAAATCAGATAACAGCACCCAGCATTCACCAAGTACAGTCGACCCTTAAACAACATGGGTTTGAACTGCACAGGTCCACTTACATGTGGATTTTTTTTGGTAGTAAATACTACAGTACTACATGGTCCACAGGTGGTTGAATCTGTGGATGTGGAATTACTGAGGATACAGAGGAAATGTGGGTATGGAGGGCTAACCATATGCTATATGTGGATTTTTGACTCCTCAGAGGGTTGGCACTCCTAACCTCTGTTGTTCAAGGGTCAACTGTTCTCACTATTTACCTGGTGTAGTACAATACTCTGGTGTAGTATACACTATCTACCTGGTGTATACTAACATTACCCCCATTTTACAGGTGGGAAAACTGAGGCACCAGAGAGGCTAAGCAACGTGCCCAAGGTCACACAGTAAGTGTTTCAGTGGAGATGGAATGCAGGCAGTCAGACTCTAGGTCTTGTGCTGTCTCCAGATATGTTTAAACCTGGGCTTCAGCTGGTAGTTTGTTCAGAGATGAGGCACACAGGGGGAGTTTCAGAGTGCCTCCATAAGGCACTATGGCCCAATTATTTCCTCCAAAGTGAGGGAAAAGAGCTTTCCAAACCATCCTCCTGCATGGTCCCTGGGCTGCCCTAACAACAAGGGGCCAGCTCTCCCCATTCTCCCTGGAGCAGAAAGGTTCATGTTTATAATCTCTTATGAAATTCCACACAAATCTTAGAAATACTGATAAATACTGATAAAAGCTATAGTGAGAGCATCGCATTTTGTGAAACTCCAGCACTTATAGAGCATATGCAGACTGTGTGGATTTCACATACACATATGAATTTAGAAATTTAAGTTTTACAGCCACTCTGAGATCTTAAGTCTGAAACCATTCAACAGCAAAGCTAGAAGTCAAGTCCAGATCACACCCATCCCACGTGCAGTTAGATTTCCACACCCCATTGCCTGGATGAGGCCTGTGGGAGACATCGAGGAAGGGGGACAACTGGGGATATGTGCCGATGTCAGCAGCCAACGTCACCAGGCTTCCTGCAGCGCACGACTCACAAAAAGGTTAGGTCCAAGTGTTGGTTTGAAACCTGACAGGCACTTTCCCATAGAGTCAATGTTAACAGCAATGGCTGGCTTGCCAAGATAGCCAAAAAAGGGGCTTGTTGCTGGTCAAACTCATGAGTGGCCATGCAGGACTGGGAACCTGGAGCTCCTTCCTCCTGGCCGGAGGCTTTTGCTTTTATACCAGGCTCAGCCCCATGGCCTTGGGGTCCCACATAGCGCCCAGCTTCTGGGACCCCAAGTAGAACCTGTCAGATACATGAGTTAATACGTGACATTCTCAGCTGATTGCCCAGAAGTCTTTACATCGGGGGATTGAGGGACTTGCCTGGCAGGCCAGGGGTTAGGACTCAGCGCTTTCACTGCCAGGGCCCAGGTTCAGCCCCTGTTCGGGGAACTAAGACCCCACAAGCTGCATGGAGCAGCCAAAAAGACACCCTCCCAAAATGGAAAACAAATGCATTGCTACGTTGAGGGATTGTGAAACTCAGATATACTTCAGTCACACCCCTGGGCAGGCAGGCATGTGTCACATGCGGTGAGGGAACTAAGAACAGCCAGGACACAGAGTAGCTGATGTAAACAAAGTGAGAATGAAGAGATGAGCTTCAAACCCAGCAACCCTGAAAGGAAGAGTGAGTGGATCCTGAGGTGTGATGCACCGAAACGGGTTACCCACCCAGCCACGTGCACGACACTGATCAACTGTGATACTATTTTTTTTTTTGGACACCTCAGAGGCTTTCCCAAAGCTACAAGTTCCAGAGACTTTGTGGTGTTATCTGCAGTAACAGGAGTTCAAAGGAACAAGAAAAGACTCCCCTACAGTTCAGAGTCGGCGAGCCCACTGCACGAGCATCCTGTGCTTTGGGCTGGGTTTTGTCCCCGGCTTCACCTCACTCTCCTTTTCCTGTGTTCTCAGAGAGGGCTGCTAACTCCAGTGGCGACTGCTCCCAAGAGTCTCCAGCCAAGTCATCAATGAAAAAAGGGACAGACATTTGGACTCTAAGCAGCTGGACAGAGGAGGTGGTGGGACCTGACACTGCTTTGTCCCTGTCTGCTGAGGGCCACGGTTCGGTTGCATCCAAGTGGCTCCTGGCACCCTGGCTGCTATGCTCAGCCCAGGTCAAGGAGCTGCTTTCATGCAAGGCTATATGTAGACAGTGTCTTTCTTCTTCCACTGCTTAGGTTAGAAAATTTCTTTTTGACTTCATAGAAAAAATTGTCATTTGTGATGGGACCTAATGAAACTTAAAAGCTTTTGCACAGCTAAGGAAACCATAAACAAGACGAAAAGACAACCCTCAGAATGGGAGAAAATATTTGCAAACGAAGCAACTGACAAAGGATTAATCTCCAAAATATAGAAGCAGCTCACGCAGCTCAATATCAAAAAAACAAACAACCCGATCCAAAAATAGGCAGAAGATCTAAATAGACATTTCTCCAAAGAAGATACACAGACTGCCAACAAACACATGAAAGGATGCTCAACATCACTAATCATTAGAGAAATGCAAATCAAAAGTACAACGAGGTATCACCTCACACTGGTCAGAATGGTCATCATCAAAAAATCTACAGAAAATGCTGGAGAGGGTATGGAGAAAAGGGAACCCTCTTGCACTCTTGGTGGGAATGTAAATTGATACAGCCACTATGGAGAACAGTTTGGAGGTTCCTTAAAAAACTAAAAATAGAACTACCATATGACACAGCAATCCCACTACTGGGCATATACCCTGAGAAAACCATAATTCAGAAAGAGACATGTACCACAGTATTCATTGCAGCTCTATTTACAATAGCCAGGACATGGAAGCAACCTGAGCGTCCATCTACAGATGAATGGATAAAAAAAAGATGTGGCATATACATACAATGGAATATTACCCAGCCATAAAAAGAAATGAAATTGAGTTATTTGTAGTGAGGTGGATGGACCTAGAGTCTGTCATACAGAGTGAAGTAAGTCAGACAGAGAAAAAGAAATGCCATATGCTAACACATATATATGGAATCTAAAAAAAAAAAAAAAGGTTCTGAAGAACTT